TGTCTGATTGTTGTTTATGTTACGTAAACTTGAAATTCAGCAGAAATCTTGAATACCTCCTTTTCGTCCACCTTTTTTAGCAACAAGTCGACAATTCTACCAGGCTTGGAAAAAGAATTTTTTTCGCTGACCACAAAAACAAATTAAAAATTTCCGCCAATATTTGGGCATGTGACTAACTAGGCAAGAACTAGTAACGAAGCGTAAATGCTATCAAGTCAGTCTAATGGGCTAATTTATCTAATATTATACATTAATGTATATAATATTAGATAAATTAGGCCATTTATTGTTTAAGTTGTTAAACCTGACCACCCTAGCCCTTAACTTGCACTGCAATTTAATCTATACATCCCCCCTCACTTAACCTTTATGTGTTGTTTATTTCTTTCATTTTTCTTTGTGTCTATTGTATGCATTCGTTTTGTCTTTCCTTCTTTCTTTCTCCCTTCATCCAAAAATATTCTGGGACAAAATGGTCCGTGGTTCGCCCCTGAATTTTTCCATCCCTGAATTCTGAAAAATAATATATACATTGACAACAGTTTTAAAATGTTTAGTGTCTATAGTAGCAGCAACAATTATTTGAAGGATTAGTTTGACAAGAAGCACTGCGTTAGAACACTTTCCTGTATAGTATGCAGTCTATTTTAACCATTTCAGAAACTTTTCTAATTTCTTCTATGGCTAATGATGATAGTAATGGTGGCGGTTTCACTTTTAATCTAAACTTTTATAGTACTTCTTACAACCACAAGTACACCAACTCCTCCTGATGAAAATAGTACACCTGAAGGAAGAATTGATAATAATGATGGTGGTGGAAGTCCTGGGGCTGCTGTTGGTGCCTCAGTTGCTGTCGTTATCGTGGTCGTAGCCGTAGTTCTCGCTGTTATGTATTTCAGAAGAAGGTGATGTGAAGTTTGCCTATTATTTCAAAATATGTCTATATTGTGCCAAAACAGTTTAGAACTAATTAACAGACAATTCCCATTACAGACTAATTTTAAAACTATGTGCTGAGTGGTTATATTACTACCTTAAAAAATAAGCAGAAACTCTACGTTTCGAGCGAAGTCAAAACTCTTGACGAAGGGCCTTCGCTCGAAACGTCGAGTTTCTGCTTATTTTTTAAGGAAGTAATATAACCACTCAGCACAACATTTTCACTTTGGTACTACCAACACTGGTTCAGACAGTTTTAGTAATTTTAAAACTAGGCAAGGAGATGCAAATAAATCACCACAGCTAGAAAGAGCATACTAAAATCAGTAAAATTGCAAAGTTTGGTTGCGAAATGTTGTAAAATACGGAAAATATAGCATTGCAAAGTTTGCAAATTTTGTATACTTTTGCCTAATGTGGTAGCAATTTCCGCACGCAATACAAAAGTGTACAAAATTTGAGAACTTCCCAAGGCTATATTTTCTGCATTTTACAACATTTCGCAAACAAACTTTACAGTTTTACTAATTTTATCACGCTCTTTCCGGGAATGTACAAGATAAAAATAGTCTATAATGGGAATTGTCTATTAACGCAGTGTTTGTGCTTTCGTTCCTATATTTCTTAGGAGAACGCACAAACGGCATGAAGACGAAGAAATTGATTCGATGAAAGAGATGAACGAAATTGAAAACGAATATATTGTAGACCCAAATGTGGCCAAGCCGGATGATCCTACTGGCAATGAAAATGATGAAGGCATTTATTCAAATGAAGCTGGTATATATGATGTTTAAATGTATCTGAATGGGATTAACTGAATACTAACATTTATCAGTATTTTTTATTGACAACTGATGCAATAATTTGCTAACGTTATCAACTTAACCAACAACTGGTGCAATAATGTAATGCATTGCAATGAATGTGAATTAATCCAAGATGACAGACAGCTCATTTAATTGCTTTCAGTCAAAGTATTTCAAGAATTAAGTTTGACATGAAATATCTGTTACAAGATATAATCATAATCTTAAAGTTTTTTTTCCCCAATTTTTCAAGCTTGCCCGGTGTGGATATACACTCAGAGTAACATCACAAACATCTTAAAGTTCTTTCAAATTGGATAACTAATTTTTATTGCCATTGTCCTTTAAAATGTCATCGAATGATTTTTTAAAATTATAATTTTTAAGACGACACAGAGAAGAAGGAATATCCACCTGTTCCTGTCGCTGAATTTGCGCATTATGTGAACGAACTGAAAGCAAATGATAATTGCGAATTCCAGAAGCAATATGATGTAAGTAGCTGACAGAAACAAACTAAATGTATGAGGACATTATATAAAGCATTAGTATAAAGCTTGTGATATGAAGCCATATAGAGACGTTGCCCATGCAGAGGCGTTGCATAGCAGATCTAGAAAAAGTTATTAATGTTCCTTGGATCTTGAATTTGCCTATTTCAAAAGTTGGTTAAACAATGGAAAATTTGACCATACATTTCGCCTTTATGTTTATGGATGCATCAACAAAGTATACTTGATATAAAATTATTCCTTGAAGGCCCGTTTACACTTGCCATTTTTTGCTGAATGTAATTTACTTAAGCTAGAGTAATTAGTGAACGTAACTTTAAGCTAGATTAATTAGTGAACGTAAGTATGCTTGATACATTATTCGTTGACTGCCGCATGAACTGGAAAATCTCGATTTATTTCATTTAAAGCATGCTGCTTTTCTGTTTAGCATTTACCTAAAAACATCAAAACGTCTTGGGAAGTTGCCAAGAAGCCGTTTAATAAGAAGAAAAACAGATATGGAAATATCGTAACATGTACGGTTTTTAAAGCGCTTTCACATACCATTTCACTACTGAGTACTGTTCATTGCACTATTGTTCACTAAGTAGTGTTTATGATGTATCTTCAATGAGATTATTATTTTTACAGATGATCATTGTCGTGTTGTTCTCTCAGGAGATGAAAATGAAGATTACATCAACGCTAGCTACATAGACGTACGTTTTCTCATAATTCACTCATACTTATAGTTTGCTTACTTGACAGTCAATTTTCCTCTACGCATGCGATTTTCCACGAATCGATCCGGCTCCTTTCCTTGATGAAAAAAAGGCAAAGGAAGTTTTGACGTTTGTCATTTTTTAACGTTCAATATTGTTATCCAGGGAAGAGAAAGTTATTATGGAGAACAAAGAGTTGTTGTATAACTGAAGTCTCAGTTAAAGCCCGATAAAGTCATTCCGGCAGGAACTGGCTGGATTTAATACTATCTTAAGATGTAAATTTTAACATAGACCTCTCTGTATTTAGGGAATCAAGGAAAATTCATACATTGCTAGCCAAGGTAAGAGGTTTACCTGAAGACTGCACTCAATTGTTTAAAAACATGAACTAGGGAATCTGATTCTATTTTTCGCTCATACGTTAGGTCCGAATGAACTCACTGTCAGTGATATGTGGAGAATGGTTTGGGAACAACGGAGTTATTCCATTGTGATGGTGACCTCACTCGTTGAAGTTGGAAAGGTCAGTAAGTCATCATCATTACCATCACCATCATTCCCATCATTGCCATCTTTATAATCGTCATCATCTGCATCATCATCATCATGATTATCATCTTTATCATCTGATCATCTTCATGATCATGATCATCTTTATCATCATCTTCATCATCATCATCATCTTCGTTATAATCTTCGTTATCATTATTATGTTAAATTGCTAATGTGAAATATATTGATAACGCTAATGTAAAATGTAAGAATGCAAATGCTAGTGTAAACTTATTGTTTGTTCTAGCCAAAATGTGAGAAATATTGGCCGGACAAAGGAAGTAAAAAGTACGGAGATATTGAAGTAACTTTGATGAAGATCGAAGAGTTTGCTTATCATGTCACACACATCTTGCAACTTAAGAAGGTAACCAACTACAGTGATCGAAGCTTGGTTACGAAACTAATTTTTATTTCATCTCTGTCGGATATGAGACTTAAGAGTGCTTCCATGCAATTTCACTTCAGTAAACATTACAGATTTTAACCCATAAGTATTCTCTAGTTTCCTCCGACAGAACAGTAGAGCAATTAGAAGTGGTCTTCAGTGGACCTCTAGCGAGAACTGTATGGAAAAGAATAAAGTTCGTTTAGCTTAGGTTTCCTCCTGCAGTGTCACTGGTTCAACAAGGAATGCTCAATGCTGGACATCTAGCAAGAGCAGTTTCACGCTACATATTTAGTGCGAATAATTATACTGGAATATAAGAGAAATTAAGAGTGACATGGATACTGGAGCATGTCTATTAAGACTATTATAAATAAAGTCAGTCAGTTCCGCCTTCTTGTGTACATCTACATAGCGAGATAAACTATTGCTTTCTATATAACAGTGTAGTTTATTTAGTCCGAGTTTCTCTCTTTAAGCTTTCTTAGGCCAGCAAGCGATGTCTCTGACTTGGACCTAGGTAGTATACTGATAGACTGATCCTGTATAAATAAATTCTTCAAACAATTTAGGACGGAGAAGAACGTGAAGTGCGACATCACTACTTTCGTTCTTGGCCTGATCACGGTGTCCCTAAATATCCCACTCAACTCCTGGCTTTCAGAAGACATTACAGAACACATCACTTGAAACAGTCTGGACCAATCGTTGTGCACTGCAGGTTAGATTCCTGAGCTCGTTGAGAAGGTATCACCATTAGTTTGTAAAATAGTACCACAATAGTACCACATGCAATCGCACCACTGGTGCTGAATATTGATGAAAAGGGGTAACCAATAATAACATTAATAAACCTGCATCATGACGATATACTCTATAAGTTACCTATTTAAATTTGAATGAACCGGTTGAAAAAATGTCGCACCAAAGAAAAGTGCATTCCTGATCCAGCGTTCAACTGTAAAATGATTTTTTTACCTTCTAGTGCTGGTGTTGGCAGAACTGGCGTCTTCCTTGCTATTGATACGATCCTTGATAAACTTGAGAAAGGTGTCATCAATTCTATTGATGTTTTTGGACAAGTGTGTGCAATGAGAGAGCGAAGAATGAACATGGTGCAAACTTTGGTATGGATGTTAATTTTTCACTATTGTCCTTAAGTCTAGAAGGCGAACTATCATGCAAACATGATATTTTTGCAGAAACATTGTTTCCCAGCAATGGTTCCAAAGAATGAAAAATAACCCCAGGAAACATTGTTTCCTTGCCATGTTTTCCGAAGGTGGGCAAAGCAGGTAGCATTGTTTCCTAGCGATGGTTCAGGAAAATGTAAAAACTGAGGAAACAATATTTCCTGGCCATATTTCGCAGAAGGTGGATGAACCATGACATAAAATATCGCATTAAGGAAGCAAATACATTTTTGAATTTCTTCGAAATATTTTTGATTCCCAAGAACGATTGACTGTTTCCTGCTAAGCAAATATTATTTTGGACAGTGGATAAACAGGAAAACGTTAAAATGTTTCCGTAATTGTTTGTTTAGGGCTTTATTCAAATTTCTCTTTTTAACTTCAAGTTGTATATTTTATTCTTAGAGGCAATACATATTTGTCCACGAAGCCATTTTGGAAACCATCTTATGTGGCATGAATGAAGTGGATTCTGGTAAAATCCAGGAAGAGATTAAAAAACTGGCCGAAGAGAAGGCCAGTGGAATGACTGGATTTGAAGAGAAGTTCAAGGTTTGCATTCATATCACCTTTTCGGACAAACAAAAGAATATCGCATGGCGAAGGTAATTTCCAAGAATTAAGACTGGATGCACTTGTGTCATTTCAGAGGTTGGGTGAGGTTTCACCGAAACTTTCTCCTGATGAATACACTGCAGCATTGCTCGAAGGAAATTACAACAAGAATCGCAACAAAAATGTCTACCCAGGTATGTTAAAAGGAAAATATCTGCTAATTATATTACCATCTACTGCATATTGTATACCATAATTTGTAAAGATATGATGGTCTGAAATCCCGGCAAACTTCAAAGCCACAAAATAGAAGACGTGCACAAATCCTGTGTCTCAACTTCATTAAATCTTTTTCACCTTGGCTGCACGTTTAATCTCAGATTTCCACATGGCTACATCGGCCCTAACCTTAAGGAGTCTCTAATATTGAGAAACACTCGCCAAACTAACTATGATCTTAGAAATAGTCTAACAGATTTAACCTTTCCTAAACCAAAAAGAGAGTACCTTAAAAAGAGTTTCAATTATAGTGGAGCTAAATTGTGGAATAGCCTCCCGTTTGATGCAAAGGTAGTGGAATCTGTTAGCCAATTTAAGAATATTATTAGAGGTAATGATAGTTAAATGATATTTGTGGTCACACCAGTAACATTTACAATGTAAATATTTCTTTTCTGTAAATAGTTAATATTTGATGCCCCCCGTGGAAATCAGCTAATTGCTGATTTCCAGCGTCATTAAATAAAGTTTTACCATACCATACCATACCATACCATACCATACCATACCATACCATACCATACCATACCATACCATACCTTCTCAAATTCATTAATAATTCATGAGAAATTAGCCAATGATAATCACCTATTTGATCACAAGATGCCATTTGGATACTTGATGAAAGTCACTAGTGTTTTCATCAAATATCTTAATTACGCGTGCAAAACTACTTAAATAGAATTCCTAATTACGTTATGCTTGGTTAAGAATTCTATTCAAATCAGCACACGAAAACATTCTGTTACGTCTCGATTCATTTGGAAAGCCATATAAACATCTCGAGCTCGTGTCTCACCGGGATATCCAAACACTCGAAAACAATGTATGAAAACACTCGCGTTTTGCGCTCGTGTTTTCATACATTGTTTTCTCGTGTTTGGATATCCCGGTGAAACACTCGCTCTCGTTGTTCATATATTACATACCATACCATACCATACCATACCATACCATACCATACCATACCATACCATACCATATCATATCATTAGACGGTTACTTAATTATACGAGAATACAATGAGCTCATGAATCACTCACCGTGACCGTGCACAAATTAACATAGACAAAAACATAACAAAAACAAACACTTCTGTTTAGTTTCTAGACCATCATCTTGATAGACTATGTGTATACCTAACCTCATTTCACCCCGATAATTTTTTCACCTTGAATTGAAAACTCTTTCGTTTTAAATTGAGAAACAGTTTTCAGAACACTCTTTGCACTCAAATATCTCCACGTCTTCTGTCTTTCTTTCCATATTAGCCGAATGCAACCGTGTTCCTCTTGAATACGTGAGTGGAGTGGAAAATTCAGACTATATCAATGCTGTGTTTGTTCATGTACGTATATGTTATCATGTCTTCGAAATTACACTCAGTAATGATGGTTAAAAAATCAATAAGGTTGTCTAACGAACGTTGTCTAAGAAGTCTCTTATCTTTGCCGTATTTGCCCATCAGATCACAGAAGCGAAAGTAGCACGGTTGTTGTGGTTTCAATATCAACACTGCTGCTTTTTTTCATTCTAGGGCTACCTTGGCAGGAACTATTTCATCGCCACACAAACTCCTCTGCCAAATACAATCAACGACTTTTGGCGACTGGTTCATGCGCAGAAATCATCAACGATCGTCTTGTTGAATAATGTCAAAGATGAAACGGTATTTACGATAACTGTGTATGTTCAATAAACAACATAACATAATTTAGTTTAAACATTTTTTAATTTTGAAAAATCCTATATTTTTCTTGCTCTCAACACATGGTTTAGGGTAGGATATTCACTTTGATTGGGTAATTTCCCTGTGTCCATTGGAAACTCGTGTAAACATAGCTGCTCAGTCAGTGGTTTTTCTGTTCTCCAAGGATCAGTTTCACTCGGGATCATCCTTACCACAAATTAACCCCCTCAGACCTTCGTTATCGAGCACGAGCATCATGAGCCTCTGGCTCGGGTGAATTGTACAACCACACCTTGTGCAATCGTCATTAAATAAATTATTTTCGTCAAACCATCGTCCTTATTCTCTCTCCGTCTATATATGACGATGTTTTTTGGTATACTGTAGTCGTTCCCGAGATTCTGGCCGACCAAGACAGGAGAACCAACACAATATGACAGCTTGACAGTGCAGTTGGACTCCGAAACAGAAACAGATGGAATATGGACTAGAAAGTTTGTCTTATCACCTTATCCAGTATGTATCCTGGTTTAGTAAAATATAAATAGGCTCAGGGGCATATAGGAAGCAATAAAAGATCGGGGGAGGGTGAAAGAAAAAAAAATTCCGTTCAAAGCATATTCCATGCTTGATAATACATAACAATTGACGAATTTTTGTAAACAACATCGAAATCTCCTATAAATTTCTTTCATTGGATTTACTTACATGACGCAGAATAGTATTTACAACATACTTCAAACACTCATTAATAATTCATAAGCTTATTGGCAAATCATGTCAACCATAATATGTCACGTGCAGTGGATTTAAACCTGATAAAAAACTCCTAATTAGTATTCTTTAGATAAAGAATACTAATAAGGCACTCGATTTGCTACTATCAAACTGGCCTGAAATGATTGAGCATGTTTCCACTCTCACCCCGAAGGAAAGCACATTTCCCTCTGATCATTACCTAGTGAATTTTTCCATACGGCTGAAGTTTAAACGAGCAAGGCGTGTTCAGCGCAAAGCTTACAATTACAAGAGAGCAGATTTTCAAGATCTTCATAGACTTTTACAGAATGCTACACTAGATATAGCCCTTTCTGACAATATTAATATTTCCTGGTCTCGGTGGAAGGATTTATTTCTAGCTGCAGTAGAAAAATGCGTTCCTGTTAAAGTCATTAAAGATACAAACTCTCCTCCCTGGATTGATGGAGAAATCAG